CCCCCACCCCCATCCCCACCAGCAAGCCCCAGTGGGAAGAAGGGCTGCACACCAGGCCGGCCAGCCTGGCCTGCAACGCCTGCTGAGCTTTGACATCACAAAGGGGACCGACAGGCATCCATCTTTATCCTTGTGACTCTGGGGCATGCGAAGGCCGGGAAGGGGCATCGGTCCTGCACGGGTTGCTCTCTTTGCCAAGCTCTCCCTTGGCCTGTACCTATCGCTGCCCCGGCATGTCTGTCTGTGTGCCACCAGCCACCTCTCTCTTTCTTTTGCAGCTCCAGCAGCCAGAATGGCATGATGCAAAGTTGCTTCTAACACCGCAGGGAACCGAGCCCTCCCGCAGACGTGGCAGTCACAGACGGTAAGCCTCCAGGGAACGGGGTGCGAGTGAGAGAGGCTCCTGGCTGGGTTTTGTGGATGCGTCCAATGTGGCTTGAGGCCAAGATAGGGTCTGTGTAGCCTATTTTGCTGTGGGGGTGTCCCAAGCCCCATAAAGACGTAGGAACATAGGAAGCCACCCTATCCTGAGTCATTCAGACCAAACATTAAAATAGCCCCAAATCTAGCTCATTATAGTGGACCCTGATTGGCATCTACTTTCTGGCAAGGCCTTTTCCCAGCCCAACCTGGGGAAGCCAGAGACTGAATCTGGGACCTTCTGCATGTGTGCCCTGTGTGCTCTCTGACTTTTCCTGTAAAAGGCTCTAATCCTCATGGTTTCAAATAAAGCACTGATATAACTGGAACTTTGGGAGCAGCCTTCTGCTGGGTCAGACCCCCAGCCCACCAAGCTTAGTCCTGTTTACACAGTGGTTCCTATTCCCTGCAGTGCTTCTCCAGAGTTCCAGGCAGGGGTCCCATCCAGGGAGGTGCTGGCAACTGCCCCGTGCTAAGCCCTTTCCCACATGTTAGAAGCTGCTGAGCTCCAAGTCATCCCCACCTGCTCCTCGCCTGAAGCTGGAACAACAGTCGCTCCCCCCTCTCCCCGGGTTCCCTCCCCTTTGCCTCTGCTGCGCCAGCCCTGCGCAAAGCAAGCGGCCCACCTGCGAGGACCACGGAGAGGATGCCCGGCCAAGAGCACATGTGCGCGCATGCACGGCCCTGTGAAAGGGCTCTGAGATCACTGATTGTATTAAAATGCACGTTGTTAGAATTACTTCGCTTATGACGTGTTAGCATCATGCTCTGAGGTGTCGGCTTGGCTGCTCGTGCCAAATTCCATCTGGCTTAATTATATCCTGCCCTGACAATCCTCCCTGCGAAACTCGTTCTCATTCCCCTCCTAACGATTGGCTGGAGCGTGTTCCACCCCAGCAGCAGCTGCCTCCCAGAGCTAGCGAGGAAGGCATGACCCCCAGCGACGAAAAAGGTACAGAAATCTTCCCTGCCGTGTACCAGGGGCAACTGCTGGGCTCTGGGGGACCAGCGAGGGATGTGGGGCCAGGGGAGGGAAGGCTCCCTTGCTTGTTCCGACGACTCGAGGGACCAGATGCTTTGTGTTTTGCAACGAGAGACCAAACAGGTTGTCGTGACAGGCTGCGAAATGCGAGGCACAGCATTTGGATCTGGCCTGAACTGCCCTGCCGGGAACTTAGGAGCATCAGGTATTCGTGGCTTCATCCTGTAGCTGGCCTGCACAGAGCACTGTCTGCCACACCTCTCCTTCCGCATCCTTTAGGGGTCCTAATGGCATGGGGAGACCCCTATAGGCTCTTTGCGGCATCCACAGGTGGTCCGTGCTCAGCCGAGTGGCATGTATGACTGGACACCGTTTGAAATCCAGGTGATGTGGCAAAGCTCTCTCCACGGGGCTGAGAGTGCAATGGAGGAAGCTTTCTGGAGATGATGTTGTGTTTTCTGAAATAATCACGATGATTATTTTATGGGGTTTGTGATATTCTAACGCAACCTCCACTAATCGGATGCTCTTGCTGGATGTGTTGGAATGCAACTCCCATGCTTGCTGGGAATTATGGGGGTCGCAGTCCCGCAGTGGCTGCCTGGCAATCCTGGGAGTTAGAGCTGAGACTTATGGAAAGATGCTCTAGTTTTCCATGGTGGATTTTCCATTCAGGTTCACCAGAAACGAGGCTTGTTAGGAAAACTGGACTTCATGGAGTAGCTTGTGGCCATACAGTGTGGTCTCTGTAAGGGCCAGGGGGCATTACATGGGAAGACATGCAAAATGAGAAGGAGAGGGACCAGTACAGGAAACCATGATGCTTCGCTTGAGGTTCTCCCTCCCGCTCTCTCTCTCTCCCTCTCTGTGGATTTTTGCCATTCTGCTCCATGGTGCTTCTCATGTCTGTTTCATCGAGCCAACAACCCTGGAAAGGTGGCCAAGACAGAGTGACAGTAGGTGAATCCACCCCATGCCCTTCTGTTAAAAAACAAAAAGATGCTCAGAAAGAGAGTGGGCGCCAGTCTGAGGAGCTCCCAAGACCATGGGTCTGCTGTTCCTTTTATAAATAGAAATATAAACTTCTGTAAAGGGGGAAACTTTAGCGGTGATCCCTTGGTAGGTTACAGGCAGGCTACGCTGTTGCTTGGCATGACCCACAGCGCCCACAAGTTCTCTGCTGGAGGAAGGCCAGCCATGCACAGGTGTGCTCATCCAGGAAACCTCTGGGCAGTATCGCTACTCTTTTGTCATCCGTGTGCATGGCACCTCTTGTTGCTCAGTGCACAAGGGACACAGAGCAGAAGGGGAACCCAAACAAACTTCTGGTGAAGCCTGGCAGCAATTCCCAGGAAAGGCAGTTGCAAATGGCCACCAGATGCCAGGGCCCCTTTCGTGCAACACACACTTGCAGGCTGTGTGCTTCCCAGCGCGTGGCAAAGGCCAGCTGGAGCACGGCCAGGGAAGCCAGCCAATCCCAGAGTTTAGGCCGGGCATCCTGAAAGGCTTTGAAAGAGGGCCGTTTCCCCAGCAACCAGCGACTCTCGGCTGCCTGAGCCTCCGACTTGAAAGTACGAGGAGAGAACGAGCGAGCCAGAGAGTTGCAACAACTCGGCAGCAAATGACACGGCCTTCGGAGGGTGCCTGCTTCCCCTCTGCACTTTGGGAGCTTGCTGCCTGGGTCACACTCTGTCCCAAAGCTTTGTGTCTCCTCGGGACAGCCACAGCAGCTTTGCAAGCGGAGAAGCAAGATCACGTAAGGTAGGAGTTCTTCGACCGCGGCTGCCCCGTCATGAGTCTCCATATGGCTCCCTCCCACAGCTCTTCGTAGCAGGCATCCGTAAGCACCACCATTTCAAGCTCACACGAATCCTTGCGTGCTTGAACCATCAAGGATTTTTGTGTTTTTAGACTTATTCTGCTATCCCTTTTAATCTATTCAGAAAGTGGGGGTCTGTGACCCCAAATCTGCCTGTACTCCATACTTTCTGATGAAAAACTTGCAGCTGCAACCCTAGGGATGTGTTTTGGGAAAGGGGACACTGTCTGGTGTGTGGGGAAAAGGCACTCTGCACATGCTCAAGGGTACTCTTGTTAATTTCTTTACATAGTTTAGGACTCAGAGTAAGTCACATCCCAAACCAAAGCATAGGAAATTGTGTTTGACTAGCTTGGAAGGCTGTGAGGTGCATCAACCTAAATTGAACAGTGGCTGTGTATTGTGTGAAGGTCTGGGTTCTCCCCAGCCCCAATTCATTCTTTTCTATTGCTCATGCCATGTTTTTCAAAGTTTACAAAGTCTTTTCTGTGATGCTTAATTGTGTTCTGTTGGGCTGGGGAGGGGGGTGGAGAGAGAGAGAGAGAGAGCATGCGCACAAGCAACATTATTCCCATTTTAGAAATGGGAAACAGAGGCGTAGAATGTCATTCATGACTAATTTCCTTTTGTAAAAGGCATGTAAGCCTGGTGACCAGGGCTGGCAATCATGTGTGCATTGTGAAGCTTTCCAGTTCACACACACACATTGCAAAGCATACTCATGTGACAATTTGCACGCGATTTGCATATATAGTCCTTTGTAGATGTGCTCTCGTGCAGGAAGCCTTCTCAACTACCAGATTACCTGAGCACAAGTACGGCTGCGATTCTGTACTGGCTCACGCAAGCAAAAGCCCCACAAACTCCCTGGGACTGCTTCCAGTGGACCTGCATGGGATTGCTAATTGCTAAACGATTGTCTCAAGCCCCTTCCATGTCTGGGCCACAGGCGGGCTTGGGATGAGCTTCAGTCGGAGCCACAGGCCGTGCTCTAGGCAATTTCCCCCACAGACCAAATTGCACCAGCTGACCCTTAAGGATCGATATGAGCGATTCAGCTTGCAAGTCGGGAGCAAGCCATGAACCGTGGGACCAGCCGGGCTCTGAGTGGCTCCCGGTTTCCCCACTTCCTTCCCACTCCAGCAGGTCAGGTCTGCCCTTCTTTGACTTCTGAGTTGTCGGCTGCCCCTGGTTTGCGCCTCAACCCCGGGACCATCGGCCCGCACCCCTGGAGGAAATCCCCGGTGGTGCAAGTGGAGAGGGCACATCAAAAGTGCCTCTCGCTTTGCCCTCAGTGCAGCAGCGGCGTTCCTGCTGGATCCCAGCCGGAGGGCCTTTCCTTCCCCATTTGCACCCACCTGGATCTGCTTGACGGTGGGCCTGAATTATTGATGCCCGAGCGAGCGGCTTGTACTGGGGCAGCCAAGCACGGTGCTGGGGGCTGGGCTGCGTAGTCTCCTCCAACCCCTGCTGGAAGGCAGGCCCAGCCAGGACAAGGCACACATGCTTGGTACCCAGAGAGGCCCATGCTCCGGTGGGCCCATTCCAAAAAAAAACCCCAAACACTGCAGGAGCACCAGGTAGTGGTGCTGCTTTGCAGCAGACGTTGAAACTGAGACTTACGGAAAGATGTTCTGGTAAACATCTCCTTCTGTTGTGAACCCCAGACCAAACTACAGCCGTGCTAGTCCTGGAATGAAGTTTTTGCAACAAACCACAACAGTTGAGGGTGCTGCTGTTTAGGATTGCCCTACTCCATCTCTCGGGTTTTTGTGTCTTTCCCCTCCCCTGCTCTCAGCAGAGTCTCATTCTGTGCATGCCAAGAATGTGCGGTCCTCCCTGGGCTGGGGGAGGTGGGGCCCCCTTCGTTCCCCTCTCCAGTTTGTGTGTGTGGGGATGTCTATGCCTGCATACGTGTTTCTGAAGGCCTCGGGTCCTCTCAAGCCTGCTGTGTCATTTTGGCCACCTAAGCCTAGTCCCCTTTGTGATTCAGACCTCAGTATACTGCTCGCAGTGCCAAAAGATTCTGGGTGGCTTGAGCAAGCGAGCCAAGTCACATGCTGGCATAAATAAGAGACGATCCTATGCAGTCACTAGCCAGTGTGACCCAGGGTGATTTTTTAATGGTCCAAGGAGTGTCACT